ACACACACACACCCCTCAACCCTCTTCTGCCTGACTGATCTGGCCAGTACATTGGCGACCTGGCAATCACTCCAACCAGTGGAAAACTGTGGCATTGTGTCGGGGCTTGGGACAGGCCTGTGTTCAGGTTTCCTCCCCACCGTGGATTTACACAGGCGGGGTGGGGGGGTCCCCACTGCCGTGTGCCTGGAGTCCACCCAGAAGCCTAGCACCACAACTGTGCATTCTGCTTTGTGCAGCGTGGGGACACCCGTCCAGGCCAAGGGATGTCAGAGGGGCATAAACTGCTTCCTGGTCACCACTCGCCCGCCTAAGGGCCAGCCACAGCATGGCTCCATCCTGTACCCCAAGGCTGCCAGGGCCACCCTTAACCAGCAGTTCTGATTTGGGTCCACTGGCCAACCACATCAGGGTTCTGGACCCAAGTAAGTAGCAACACAGGCCTCAGCCTGGTGAGCCAGGGTCTCCCTGGCTTTTTATGCACGTGCCTAGCCAGACACAGGCCAAGAGAGGCCCCTGCTGACTGTAGGCCTGTCATGAGGGCAGGAGGCATCCAGGACTTCAGATCAAAGCTTCCACCTTGTCCCCAGCTTTGGGCCTGCGGTTGTCCCCAGGGACATAGCACAGGCCCTACTAGGGCCTCTCCACAGCCACAAGGGTGCCGAGTGGACTTGGGAGATCAGAGCCTCGGTCTCCCTGACTGTAGAATGGGCACCACCTCCTGGCGGTGCGATGACATTGACCAGGACTGGGCCACACATTTCTTAGCAGTGAGCACTCCTTCCATCCTGGTTTCTCAGTGGGGTTGCCATGGCTTTGTGTTCTTAGGGCAAACACTTTGGGTGCCCCAGGATAGGAAAATGGCAGGTGGCTTTCTGCCTCCTGAAACTGGGGCTCCCAAGTAGGGAGAGAAAAGCCTTGTTGGCAGAGAAAGCCTGGGCCTTTGTACAAGAGACAGGGAAACTAGGAAAGGGTGGAGCTGGGTCTCGGCAAAGCTGGAAGGAGTGGGGACTGCTGCCTGGGGCCACGGGCCCATATCTGTGGATCTCACAGCGACTTGGGAGCCCAGCACCCGGGCCAGCTCTGTGTCTTGACCCACTTCACACAGGGGAAAGGCCCTCCCTCGCAGCCTCAGGGTCTGGCTCCCAGCCCAGCACCTGCCCCATGCACATCCGGCCTGCTCCCACGTTCCCTGGCTGGCGGCTCCGTGGTCAGGGGTGGCAGTCCATGCTGTGGCCAAGAATAAGGCACCCTTGTCATTAGTGGTTTGCTAAGCACAGGCTGGGCCCAGGGACACCGGGAGGTCAGATAAGGAGGGCAGTACCAGGGCAAGGGCAGAGGTCTGCACCCCATGGGGGTTCTGAGATGGACAACCTCTGTCCAGGTTGGTCCTCACCAGGATGCTGGTCTTGGGTAAGGGGCAGACCCCACACACACACGGACCAGGCAGACAGAGGGGCTGACCATTCAGAGATCTGGGGTGGGCTATTCGACTTGAAGGAGAGGGCATACAAGGATCCTCGGGCGGAAAAGTGGTTGATGGAGCAAAAGGAAGATAGTGGAGGGGGCCAGTGCGGTGGCGTAGCAAGCTAATTCTCCACCTGTAACCTCAGCATCCCATCTGGGCACTGGTTCATGTCCCAGCTGTTCTACTTCCGATCCAGCTCCCTGGTAAAGGCCTGGGAAGGCAGGGGAAGATGGCCCAAGGCCGTGAACCCTGCAACCACGTGGGAGATCTGAAGAGGTATCTGATTCCCAGCTTTGGACCTGTCCAACTCTGGCCATTGTGGCCATTTAGGGAGTGAGCCAGCAAAGGGAAGATTTCTCCAAGTCTTTCAAGTAAAATAAATAAATGTTTAAAAAGAAGAGGGAGGAGGAGGAGAAGAGAGGAAAGGCTGGGCGGGGTTCAGAGTGAGTGACCACACAAAGCTGGTCAGTGGCATAGTGTGATTTTTTTCAAAATCGGATTCAGATTGGATGGGAGTAGTAGGAAAAAACAAAATCGCAACAGGTTTAACATAAGATAGCTTTCTGTAACTTCGCTGCAATCCCCTACCACCTTGCACTTAGAAATCCAGAGGGAGGCCTGTGCTCCAAGTGGTGGGGATGCACCTTTGCCGGACTTTGTCTCCTCATGCCCAAAATGTCTCCTCATGGTCCAAAATGGCTGCTGAAGCTCCAGCCATTTATCCGGTTTCCATCTAGTAGGAATGAGGAAATAAGAAAGAATGGCGCACCTCCTCTGTTTAAGGTTCCTTCCCCACGTTGCACACACTTCTTTCATTATCAGAAGGCGGCCACGAGGCATGCATTGCTGCGTGGGAGACTGGGAAATACATCTCTAAATCTGGAAGCTGAGGTAAAATTGTCTGTAGCTGAGAGAGAGAATGGGGTGACTACTCTCTCTGCCACCGTGCTGGGGGGGCACAGGCACACAGAAATGTGAGGTGGCATTGGCTCCCTGCCTGAGCTTCAGGAAGCTAGGGGGAGGGGGAGGAGCTAGAGCAGAGCCAAGAGCAGACAGCAGCAAAGAGGGAGCCGGGAGAGCTTCCCGCCCCTCTCTCCTCTCTGTCCACACAGCCAGCTGCCCTCATTCAGCCCCTGGACAGCTGCAGAATGCTCCTGGTAGCCATGGTTATCACCCCCTGGGCTGTACTGCCCCCCCATGGACACCTGCCTGATCTGCTGTCCTGCCAGCAGCCCTGCCCGTACCGCCTCTGCGCTCCCTGCTCTGGTGGCCATCGCAGTGGCATCTTTAGAATGGAGGTGATGGCCTGGCACCTCTTTTTTTTTTTTTTTAAGATTGATTTATTTATTGGAAAGTCAGATATACAGAGAGGAGAGACAGAGAGGAATATCTGTCCGATGATTCACTCCCCAGGTGACCGCAACGGCCGATGCTATGCCGATCCGAAGCCAGGATCCAGGAACTTCTTCCAGGTCTCCCACACGGGATCAGGGTCCCAAAGCCTTGGGCCATCCTTGACTGCTTTCCCAGGCCACATGCAGGGAGCTGGATGGGAAGCGGAGCTGCTGGGATTAGAACCGGGGCCCATATGGTTCTAGCCCCAGACTGTTTCCAGCCCCCTCCTCCTGCCCTGGTGGCGGGCTTGTGCGGGCAGCTGCATCCACCTGGGCCACACGCCACCTCCCTAGCCTGTTCTCCCTTCTGCGCTACCCAAGTGTGGCTCTATCTGAGGTCGTGACAAGGCGGAAGGCTGTCCAGGTCTGAGGCACCTGTGTCCACACAGACCGTGCTCGGTGTGGCTCCTGGGGCGGCAAGGGTGCAGGAGGGGCCTGGTCTTGGGGTTCATCCTTGGAGCCTGTTCCCTGCCAAGGCCTGCTTAGTGGGAGGGCCTGTGCCAGAGCCTGCTGCCCTCCCAGCCTGCTGGGAACCCGTGGGGTGCCCAGGACCACGTGATGTGCCCGGCTTCTCACTCTGAACCTGCTCCATCCTCCATCCGAGGATGGGCCAGGAGGGAGGCCTGTGCCACTCACGTCCTCCGCCTGGTGTTCCCAGCTCACAGACAAGGAAATCTGCAAGCAGGTGTACAGTGGGACCCTGTGGACTCTGTCCCTTTAAGACATGCCCAAGGCTGGATCCAGTAGAGGGCAGCCAGTGAGCAGCCCTGAGGCCCTGGGAAACATTTCACAGCAAAGGGAGATGACGCAGCAAGCCTTTGGGAAGTCTCCCGCGCAGGCTGCCGAGTAGGGGAAGCCCCGCGGGCCCAGGAAAGCGAGCAGCTCCAGCTTAGGCAGCCACACCCCGGCAGCCAGCACCCAGTGGTGGACTTCTCCGGGCCGGTTTCCCAATCCTCAGCCACCGGCTTCCTGCCTCGGGAGCAGCGGAGAACAAGACTGGGGTGGACTTGTGTCCACAGCCTTCCCATCCAGTACGCACACTTCCTTCCAAAGCGTGCTCTCATCCCGCTCCCTGTCCCCAGCCCTCCAGGGCCAGCGTTTGTCCCAGCTCTGGACAAGCACAGCACAGGGACCTGGGGGAGCAGGACAGGATGGGCTGGGCTAGCCTGGAGCTGCCCTGTCTCATCTACCCCCAGGGAAGGCTGTGCCCGCCCCCCAACACCCCACCCCTACACTCCAGAGCCCAGACAGGTACCCCAGGGAGGAACAGACACAGAAACCCACAGGCAGCCCCAACCCCCCGGGGGTCCTGAGCCTGGACCAGAAGGTCTCTATTTTCTGGGAAATTGCTCTGGAAGGTTCCCAGAGATGGTTCTGGGAGGAAGAGGCCTCCCAGCCTGCTTCAGGGCCCTTCACCCCCCTCTCCGGAATTACAGAAAGAATGCCCAAGGCTGGGGGCTGTGGAGGAGTGTCTGGGGAGACCACACGGAAAACGCACCGCGTGTCGATGCCCGCGACCCCGCCTTCCCAGGGAGATAGTGTTCCCTCCCCTCCGCATCCCACCTGGCTTCCCACGCCTCCAAGAGGCCCCAGGGACACCCTGGGGAACAAGGGCCCATTGATGCAAGGGCTGGAAGAGCCCCGCTCTACCCCTCACCCTCAAGGAAGTAGTCTGGCCGCTGCATTAAGGGGCCCCTCCGGTTCCAGAGAGGGCTGCTGCCGCACCAGGCTCGGGGCCGGTCACTGCCACGCCGTTTCTCAGGCAGGAAAACCAGGGCTCAGGCAGCGGGAAGCCAAGACACAAGATGGCCCAGATACAGGGTGACCGGGTGGACCCTCGCCTGAGCGCTGCTCTGGACAGCTCTGCACCCCCAGGGCCAGCCCCAACATGGGAAAATAAAAAAAAAGGACAGCGCCATTTCAGGTTAGTTCCTGGTTCCTTCTTATAGATTGAAAGTGTCTGTAGCGTGGGGAGGGGGTGCTGCACAGGTGCTCTGCTTTGCTCATGCAGCCATGCATGACCATGCAGACCATGCAGCCAGCATGCCGGGTGGCCTCCAGGTCGGGCTGGACCCGCCCCGGCGGAGGCGGAGTTGTGTGGGGGCGGAACGGCCGCGCAGCCGGGACCTGAGGCCGGGGCGGAGGCGCGGGCGCGCTCAGGCGGAGGAGGCGGCCTGGAGGCCACAGCATGGACTCAGGCCCCGAGGAGTACGAGCTCAACGGCGACCCGCGTCCTGGCTCCCCCGCCGCCTCGGTAAGAACCCCCCGCGCAAGCCAGATCTTGGCCAGCCCTGCGGGCAGCTGTGCACGCCACATAACGAAACTTGGGCTGGCGGCGTCGCACCGAGTCCTGCCCGACCCCTCGGGGAGCAAACGGGGACCGAACTTGGGTGGGTTACGGCCACTCGGGGGCGAGGGAGAGGCGCGGGATCCTAGGCTGCTGCTGCTGCTGTGGCATGCGCCCCTGGCCGAGCGCCGAGGTCTCCTTCAGCAGCCTGCCTACCTCCCGCGCGGTTTCCTGTGCGCCCGAGGTGAGCAGAGCCCAGCACCGCCAGCCTCTGGCTGCTGGCCAGCGGCGGGCAGACAGCGACGTCAGCCGGTGACCACACGGTCCGAGCCTGCCCGCGGGAGAACCGCTGTGCTGAGTTGCCTGGGAGAAATCTCACGCCTCCAGGCTGTCCATCCACAGGCCCCGAGCCTGTCCTGAGCCTGCCCTGGCTCCAGGCAGGGCTGGCAGAGGCCTCTGTCCCCCACCTCGGAAGTGGGGTACCTCCTCCTGTCCTCCTGTCTTCCTTCCCCAGTGCTGGTTCTGAGGCTGAATCTCCGTCCCAGGACCCATGGGTTTCCAGGGCTTGGCTATCTCCACGCCAGGACCAGCGCACTCCCCAGGCCTTGGCATGGCCCTCTGACTTGTTGACTTTTGAACATTCCTTCCTTTTCCCACCCTGGTGTAGGGGGTGGGGACTGGCAGTCCTTGGAGATGTCCTAGGCTGCGGGTCACAGTGGCCAGGTGGTGACTCCAGGCCTCGGCTGCTGAGGGAGGTGGGGTCTGGACTTGGAAAGCCCGCAGGCAGCGCAGCCACACAGGGCCTGTCACCTGGGCAGACGTGAGGTCCACTTGTCACACACAAACGGCCAGCCAAGCGTGGGAGACGTCAGGGTCTGCCTGCCTGGTGGGTGAGCACTGTGGAGCCGGGCATACCCCTGGTGTGTGGGCTTGGCAAGGTCGCCTCCCCTGTCTGGGCCTTCTGCAGTGGCCTTACACTGACCCTTGCCTAGAACTGACCCTTGCCTGCCTCCAGGGCACGGGGCAAGGCAAATCAGATCACAAAGGGACAGGTGGCTCAGAAGCTGTTGGAAAGGAGGGTACCAGGCCCCACCTTTGCTCTTGCCCAGCTGTGCCCTCAGCACTGCCTCTGCTCACCTGGGCAGGCAGCTGGGTGGGCGGGTGTTCTGGGCATATCTCAGGCCATGGGAGGGAGATTGGAGGGGAACTGCTTGGGGGGAGGAGTGACAGTCTAGGCTCTGAGGCCAGAGAGAGGTGCTGCAGCCCTCTCCAGCCCTGCCACCCCTACCTGCACCCAAGCTGATTCAGGGAGCAGCCCCAGCCCTGGGTGGGGAGGGAATGGGCAGCCCCAGGGGGCTGGCAGGCTGCTGTGGGAACAGCATCTGGGCAGAGGGAACGGCAGGGCACCCCTCTCCAGGCTGGGGTATATCCCTCCGGGGGAGTCTCTGTTCCCAGGTAGAGGCTTCCTGGGGAGGTTGCCAGCCCCCAAGGCTGCTCGGTCCGGTCCCTTCACCTGCCCGATGCCCCTCATTGTCCCCTTCCCCCCTCAAGCCCTGTCCTGCTGTTTCTCGGGCATATTGTGCCAGCACCGTGGGCCTCAGTTCCTCACCTGTGAAATGGGGATGACAGCAGCACGTTCCAGCAGTCAGTGAGGACAGAGGCTGCCGGCTGGAGGGTGCTGGGAGTAGGACCCGGCACGTGACAGTGACATCATGATAACTGTCTCCCAGGGTGACACCAGCAGTGGTTCAGCAAGGGTCGCTCTTTCCCCAGAGAGGGGCCTCCGTGGACTCTCATGTCCAATGAGAGTGGCTTACCTGGGCCAGGGCCGTGAGCAAGCTGCACCCACACTGCCTGAGCCCGGGGCCGGCTGAGTCCCATTGGGGCGAGAGGGCAGGAAGCCCCATGAACTGCCCCCACAGCACTGGTACCGCCTGTGGTGGTAAACATCAATTTCCACTTGGAGATGGTCCACAGCCACGGGGCATCTCTGGGCACTGGGCACAGTGGAGGGTGAGATCTTACAGCAGGAAGTTTGCACACAAGCTGAGAGAACCACCCCCCCTTGCCAGCCTCACCATTCGCTGACCCTAACAGCCCCCAGGGCGAGGCTCCTGGAGCCACAGCTTGGTCACATGCTCTGGAGAAGAGAGTGCCGCCCTGTGCTCTGGCTGGCCTGACCATGCGTGCCCGCAGCTGCTGGGCGTTTTCCTGTTTTCCTCACTTCTGCTTTCCTTGCGGGGTCTTGGCCAAGTCCTGATGTTGACGTTGCTGTGGACTTGAGGGCCTTTCTGCCCATAGGAAATGGGTCTGCCTCGCCCCACCCAGCCCTGCCAGCCCTGGCCCAGCTTCTGTGGGGATGCCGCTCCTGGCGGGGCCTCTCGCCAGGCACACAGGCCTAACGCTGGAAGGTGTTTTGGTGCTTACCTTCCAGGTGGGTGGAGATAGAGGGGACATGATGACAGCATGGGACTCAGAAAGGTGGGCTTCCTAGACCCCACCTCTGGCCTGGTTGTGGGACCCACGACAGGTTGTTTCAGCCGAGCTGAGCCTGAGGCTGGGCTCATGCTCTGGGCAGGTCCTGGCCTGGGGGTAACGGAAGGACTCAGTTCTAGGTCTTCCAGTTTCCATGGTGCCCAGCTGGTGACCTTGAGGGCCAGGGTCGCTGAGCAGACAGTGCTGGAGTCCAAGGCAGAGGCACATGGGTGCCAGGGCCTGCTCAACGTGAAAGAGCCATGCCAGGGTGGCTGTTTCTGCCCTTGCTGCTGTCTGCAGGTGCAGCAGCCCTGACTGGTAGGGTTTGCTGGGGTGGTGGAGTCTTGCAGTAGGGAGACATGGAGGAATCTCCTCTTACTGCTGTCCCCTGCCGTGGCCCTGGATGGTTCTGGTGCCATCTGAGTCCCTGGCTGCCTTACTGAGGAGACTGAGGCACAGAGCGGTCACCTGCTGGCTGCTGCTGTGGGCACATGGGCCACCACCGCTCCCAGCCAGCCCCAGTCCATGCAGGCCTTGGGGCAAGGACAGCTGCTGTGGTTGTGGCTCCCCAACCCCCCACCCTATCTATTCCCAGGCAAACCTTGATGGGGATGGGCCGCCTGGCTTAGTGCCTTCTCCTCCCGCCTGAGCTGGTGTGCTCAGCAGGTGGTCCTGGAATTGCACCGACTAAGACTGCTTGTCCACAGGAGGCGGCAGGGAGTGTGGGCCCTGCCGCCTTCTTCCCAGCCCAGCTCCTGGTTGCTGCTGAGGTTCAGGAGAAGGCCTGCTGCCTCTGATGAACATTAACCAGGGGCTGTGTTCCCTCAAGTACCGGCGCCATGGCGCTGTGTTCTTGGCAGTGGGTCAGGCCGGAGAGCTCTCTGGCCCATGGGGCTGGGGCCACTGGCCACATTCCTTGGGACTCACCTGTGTAGGGATCAGCTTCAGTATGGCCCCACTTCCAGCCTGCACAAAGCCTCCTCCAGGACCCTGACTGGGGACATGAATAGTTTGCATCGTGTGGCTTCAGGGCACACACAGGCCTGGGCTACAATGCGGGCCTGCTCCTTCCTCAAGGTCTTCCAGGTCGGTCCTAGCTAAGTCTCAGTTTCCTGGTCTGTAGGATGGGAGAATGACATATGCTGTCACTCAGTGGATGGGTGGCTTTCCACAGGAGGCCTGAGGTGTGAGGACAGGGAGCCTGAGGGAGTGAAGGGCATCTGCTGTGTGGTCCACAGAGTCAGGCTGCGGGGGCTGTGGCTGACCCCAGGCACAGTCCTGCAGCCCAGCTGTGCTGCTTATCATGGTGTAGGTCCAACAGGAAGCAGATGGCCGGAAGAGCCAGAAGCAACCTCACCACAAGGGACACTGAGTCGCTGGGGCCCACCTTCAGTGACCCCTGCGGGCAGTGGTGTCATTCAGCAGGACTCTGGCCCCCCAGGGCCTGGAGTCAAATCCCAGGGCAGCTCTCATTTGTTCCATGGCTCCAGAATGGGTAGCCCCCCGCACCAAGCCTCAGTTGCCCACCTTGGCATGCAAACAGCGGGTCCACAGACCCTGTGGCTGGGGGAGCCGAGAGCTGGGGCTGTGCTGCTGCTGCATGGCCACAGGCCCCTGAGACCAAGGACTCAGGGCTCTGCAGTCTTTGCCGAAGGCCCGTGACTGGCAGGTCTTCCAGTGACTCACAGAGCCTTGGATGAAAAAGAATTCTTCCTCTTGCCAGAGAGCACCATAGCTAGCCTGTGCATTTGTGTGTTCATGGGCATGTGTGTGCCTGGGTCGTGTGTGTGTTTTTTTGTGTTGTAGGTGTAACTGTGTGGACACATGTGTGTTCAGGATGTGCACACATGAGAAGGCATTGTGTAGTCTGGGTATCCATGTGTGTACATATATGTTGTGCTGTGTGCATACTTGTGAATAAATTGTGTGTTTCTGGATTTTCATGCACATGTAACTATAGGCACACGTGGGTTATATTGGTGCATGCCTGTGTGTTTCTGTGGCCGTGTGTGTGTGTACTTTATTTGTGTGTCATGTAAGCAAAGTGTAGTTTGTACACTTTCCATGATTGTGTGGGTGTGTTTGCCTTTGCATATGTATGTATGTGTAGATGTGTCCACAGGTAATGTCTCCGCAGAGGGTGGGGCCTCCCCATGGCGTGTACACCCGTGTTTCCTCTCACCATCAGGTCCTGGGGTGGGGACCAGATGGGCATTAGGGTGGCTTCGAGCCATGGCGCTTGGGCACTTCTGGTTTATGCAAGTAGGAGCAGGTGCCCACAGTGGACCAGCAGCCTCCAGCCAGGGTGTGGCCAGCCAGGTGGCTTTGTAAGGACTAAGGACAGAGCTGGGGCTGCACGTGGGGCCAGGCTCAGGCTCCTGAGGGGAGGGAGCAGCTGTGCCCTGGGCCTGGGGGAGCCCCAGGGTCCTGGGGGGCAGCAAGTCTGGCGAGCGTCGGGCTCCTCTGTGTCTCTGTGGCCCTTGTTCCCTTACTCCTGGGCATGGCATTTCAGGTGACCATGAACTTTTTTTTTTTTGTGGGTTACCCAGATTTTGATTACATTGATGAAATAATTCAAGCACTTTATCTATAACCTGATTCGAATATGCCAGATGAGAATCAATACTGTACAGTTTTTTACATAAAAACTTTACATCTGCACCATATACAGTTTATCTATGTGAAGACATTTTCTCCACTCACTGTTAATACGGAATGCTTCACACGCTTGTCTTTAACCGTCCGAGCACAGTTCACAGTATGAATGCATTTCTACTAAATCTAACCTCTGCAAACCATGCCAGATTCGAATATATTCAACAATAAATTCTGTACTTAGTGTAAAATTCTACATGAAGCCCAGCCAGCCACCCTAAAGGAAAAGCCAAACCCAAACAAAAAAACTCAACCAAACCAGCAACCTAGATTCATTTTGCAGCAATTCAAGTTTCAGCCCATGAAGGATCGTTCATTTCAATGGCTCATCCTGAAAAGCCCTACAAGAGTTTATTACAGGTGTCACTGTCAGGAGGGTTATTCTCTTTGTTTTTGTTTTGTATTCCTCTCCGTGATCTTGACAAGCCAGGACAGCATCCAGGCGTGCCAAACCCTCAAAATTACCACCCTCTCATTAAGGCAAAACCAAAAAAAAAAAAATCCCACAAAGTACACAAGACAGTAAGTTCAACCAAAACGCTTAGTGCATCTGACAAAATATTAGGGGTATTTAAGCAAGTAGGTAAGAAAAGAAAGCTATAAACCAGTGCAGGAAGGAGTCAGTGTTCACGACTTTGCATCACAGACCTGCATCTCCGTGTGTTTTCACAGAAGGATGATCACCAGTGTCTCAGGCAGCCTGAGCATGAAAATCAGAATACCATAGTTACTAAATATTTATTTTTCCATGAACAATAAGCTCTTCTTCCTGGACTTTCTGAATTAGAAACATTTTAGCCTTCCAAATACAGCTTCCCTGAGTTGTACTTCCTGTAGTGGTTCTGCCTTTACATCTGTCTGGTTCTTTGGGTGGGTTCCGCTTGTACAGCCTGCCCTCACCAGGTGGGATAGGGACAGGACAGGAGCATAAACTGACACTTTTTATTCATTTAATTAAATTAATTAATTAATTTATTGGAAAGGCAGATATAGAGAGGAGGAGAGACAGAGAAGATCTTCCGTGCGATGATTTTCACTTCCCAAGTGGCCGCAACGGCCAGAGCTGAGCTGATCCGAAGCCAGGAGCCTGTTCTGGGTCTCCCATGTGGGCGCAGGGTCCCAAGGCTTTGGGCTGTCTTCGACAGTTTCCCCAGGCCACAAGCAGGGCGCTGGATGGGAAGCGGGCCTGCCAGGATTAGAACTGGGCATATGGGGTCCTGGCGTGTGCAAGGAGAGGACCTCAACCACTACGCCATCGTGCTGGGCCCACACTGACACTTTTTAAACAAGCTTCCTGTTTCCCCCAACACAGGGACTCCATCCCATTTTTAACAGGGATTGAGCTGTTTAAAGTTTACCAGTAGCCCTCAGACCTTGCTAAAGCCAAGCTCTGGCCCCCCATCTGTTCTGCAGAGGTTACCCCTGGTATTTTTCCTTGTGAGCACTCGCAGCCTGAACAGCAGCAGCCAGATCCCTGGGTCTGCCCCTCCCTGCATCTTTCATGAGTCCCGAAACAGGAGCTCCTGGAGTGGCTCCAAGAGGCTGGCCGTGCACCAGGCCCTAGCGCTGCCCGTGCTCTGACCAATGTCCCAAGTGGTTTCCGTTCAGGAACTGCCACTTGGGTACTCTTGCACAGAAGGCCAGGATGAGGGGGCAGTAGATTTGTCCCAGGTGCCTGGGTTGGGGCACAGTGGTGCAGCCTGAGATGGGGGCTGCCAGGCGTGGTCAGGAAAGAACCTGGGGCAAGAGACAATTGTGTGCTGCTAGGGGAAGTCTTGGGAGGCTTCATGGAGGCAGTGGCCCACAGTAGGGCCTCAGAGCATGGGAGTATCTGACAGTGGGGCAGAGGGCCTGGCCAGGCTCCCCATGACCAGCTGGACTGGTGGGCTGGGAGCAAAGTGGAAACTGGCCTGGAGCGTTGGGTGGGGGCTGGGAGTGCCCCCAAGGCAGGGGATGCTGTGGGGCCAGAAGTGATCAGAACTTTCCTTGAGGTGGAGGGAGCAGCTGAGCCCAAGGGCTCTGCTGAGTGCCCACTATGTGCCATGGATGCCCAGCAAGGTGGCTGGGTATGTACAGTCGCTCAAGGATGGGATATGGCCCGGGCCGGTCAGCCAGGAAGAGCTGGTTTCAAGCACTGGCCTGTAGTGCTGTGGGGGAATTCGTCACTTCCCTTCTGGCCAGCGAGAGGGGAGGCTTGCAAAAGGACAAGTGTGCCCCCTCAGCCGACCCCCACAGCAGGAGGGCAGGGTCCTGCCCACTGGCCTAGCTGTCTGTGTCTCCTGTCTCTCCAAAACTTTATTCTAAGGAAGTTTAGAGAGAGCCAGCACCCTCTGTCCTCACGAAAGTGAGCATTTTCCCCAGGTCTGGGCGCGGGGAGTCCCCGCCCTGGTCCCTGACCGCCCTGTTCTCCACAGCCGTCCCGCTGGGGCTGGAGGCACCAGCCCATCAACGTGAACCACTATGCCAACAAGAAGAGCGCGGCCGAGAGCATGCTGGACATCGCGCTGCTCATGGCCAATGCGTCACAGCTGAAGGCCGTGGTGGAGCAGGGCCCCAGCTTCGCCTTCTTCGTGCCCCTGGTGGTCCTCATCTCGGTGTCGCTGGCGCTACAGATTGGTGTAGGTGTGCTGCTCATCTTCCTTGGTAGGTTCCCCGGGCACCCCTTGCCCACCCCTGAGGGTGGGTGCCACCCTGCAGCTCTGCTGCTCCCCATTCCAGGGCCACCTGGGTCAAGGTCATCAGACTAGGGATCTTTGGTCACCTGGCTCTCCCTGCTGCCTTTGCTGGCCCTGGTGACCAGCAGCAGCTGCCCTACAAGGAATTCAGAGTAGCTGAGTTACCCAGGAGGGGAGTGAGGGACCCCTAGACACTGTCCCCCCAAAAACCCTCCCAGTGGACAGGGACCAGCCCTGCAGCCCTGCTCTGCTGAGTGCAAACCCTGAGCCTGGCTGCTGCCTCCAACATTGGTCTCCGCCAGGCTAAGACCTGGGGGTCTGCACCTCAGATCTCTGGTAGACAGAGGTTGGTAGTGGGGCAGGGCTGATCTCCCCTCCTGCTACAGAGAACCGGGGACCCCCTGGCTGCCCATGCCCAGCTGTGAGAGAGAATGTGGGCAGCTGGGGGATCTGGAGGTGCAGGGCGACACTGTGGTTAGCCTGGCCCAGGGCAGTTTCCCATCTAGGAGGGCGTGAACTCTGGCCCCTGACCCACTGGGATTCCATTCATGGTGGAGAAAAGGGGCTATGGAAGGTGGGGTACACACATTGGACTGGGCCACCCCTGTATGCAACCCCATTGCCAGATGAGGTGTCAGTGTCCCCATCTGGGGTCTAGGCTGCCTCAGTACCACCTGTTCCTCTCTCACCCACAGTCAAGTACGACCTGAATAACCCAGCTAAGCACGCCAAGCTGGACTTCCTCAACAACTTGGCCACGGGCCTGGTGTTTGTCATCGTGGTGGTCAACATCTTCATCACAGCCTTTGGAGTCCAGAAGCCGTTGCCAGATACAGCGCCCCGGCAGTAGGTGAGCCATGATGGCCGATGGTGGGGGGCTCTGGGGTGTGCCAGCATCCACCAAGCCAGTCCTGCCCCAGCACTGATTGCCTGGGGTTTCAGTGGTCTCTTGTGGTTGGACAGACTGCTGACATACCCCGTGAGTTCACACAAACATGAGATTTGGGGGCTCCCCTCCCCTCCTCAACCCCATTCTCATGCAGACTCCCCCGCCGAGCTGCCCCACATCTCTTTCTTTCTGGGCCTTGCAAGGTTTGCATTTGCTTCCTGCTCTGAGATGGACCCTGGCTCTAAGTGGGGCAGTTTCAGACTGAGTGGGAGGCACTCACACCATGATCAGCGCTGCTGCCAGCAAGCACCTGGCAAGGGATGCTCAGTGCAAGCACAGGAGCCAAAGGCAGGCTCTGGTGGCTCAGTCCATGTGGCCGTAGGCCAAGTGCGTCCCTCGGCTCCTTCTGTATGTAGGCATGCCTAACAGATGACATCACAGCAGGTTAGAACATGAGCCTCGTGTGCTCAGGGCAGAGTGCCTGTGTTGGGGAGGATGGCAGAGCCAACACTCCAAGTGGCCACAGTGGATACTGGGAGGTAGGCATGCAGCTGCACAGCTGTGTTGAGAGTGCCTGGCTCCCCAGGCACCCATGCCATGCGTGGTAGCTGAGTTACACAGTTACACAATCCCTGGTGCCTTGACCATGGAGCCGTAATGGTAGGATCTGGGCAGCCCCACGTGGCATTTATTGTTGATTGCCTGGTTGCCACCTGGCTTGTTGTTGAAGCCGCCTCCTGCAGAAGCCTGGTGCCAGCCCCTTTGTCCCTCATAGCTTGACCAGGCCTTTTATCATCAACTGCTGTGTGTCCTCAATGTCAGCCTCAGGTGCCTCAAGTGCCGTTCGCCTGCCAGCTGGGAAGAGAGTCCAGGCTTGTGGGTACATGGCCTGCATCCTTGGAGACCCTGCAGTGTCCTCAGGGTGGTCCTCGGGGTGGGGTACTGAGCTGGAAGCACCAAGGAGCAGAAACCTGGGCCCCATAGGTGGCTGTGGTCACAGCTGCCTTGGGGCCTGGCCTTTAAGTGCTGGCCAAAGGCATGCTGTGTTCATCGCATTATCAGAGAGAGCCTGAGACTGGGAGCCCAGGAGATGCCCCCCAGCCGGCAGGCTCTTACTCTGGAGTCTGAGTGTCTGCTGGACCCCCAGTGGTGCAGGCTGCTTGCCAGGCAAGCTCAGGAACCCGTCTGGGTCCTGCTGTTCACACCTCTTCCGCCCACCTTTCAGAAACCTGGATTGTGCCTGCCCAGCAGTCCGCCCACCCAGCCCAGGTGGTCACTGAGCTCTTGAGGCGTCCATTTATGGTATACAGCGCTCTGCAGGACCTCTCGTGCCCAGGGCCCAGCTGCTGCTCTGATTGGACGGCGTGCAGGAAACCATCATGGTGTGTGGGGCCCAGCAGGAGGCCCAGAAGCTCAGAACTGGAAAGCTGCAGAGATCTGTGTCCAGACATGGGTCACGGCCCCCCTGGAGACACACAGCAGGTCCATGGACAGGCCAGACCAAGGGCCCCGGCCAGCCACTATCTCAGGACATTCCTGAAAGATGAGGAGCTCTCCCTGCTCCCACCTGTTCACCAGCATCCCCCTCCTCCAGGGAAGTCTGCTGCCATCTTCCCCTTAAGCCTCAGTGCCTGGGCTTGGCAGCCATCAAGAGGGAGCCGGGCCCAACATGTGCTTCCCTGGCAGTGCTGGGCAGAGCCTCTGCCCTCTACTCGGCAGCCGAGTATCACCCTCCCCATTTCTAATCAGGAATGATGAATAAAACCACCACTCCCTCCCTGCTGGCCTCCATGTGCCCCAACCCTTGTGGGCAGCCACAGGCATGGGAGCCTTCCCCAGATGCACTTTGTTTCAGAGTGTTGCCTGGGGGAAATGGGGGCAGGAGGGTGAGCTGGAGTTATCTCAGATGCCCAGAGACTCCCTTACACATCTGATAGTGCCTCATCTGGGTTCCTGGCCATCTTGCAAGTGCCTGTTTAGAGGTACCCCTTCCACCCAGCCACAGGGTCAGAACTAGGGAGACCTGCAGGGCACTGTAGGGCAAGGGCACATGGGTTCCTCACTGATCCAGCCCCAGCTGGCAGCTCAGTCCTGATCCACATAATGGGGACCCTGTGGGCCTCACCACCCTGCCCTGGTACCCTGGTGCCTTGCTGTGCCAGTTAGAGCAAAATAACTCCCCACACTCACCCCTGGCCACCTGCACCGCAGATTCTCGCTCCTCCTTGGGCTCCTGTGGCACGAAGTGAAGCAGTTCCAGGACTTGGGAACCAGGGGCCTCCTTGCAGGAGCCTAGAGGGCAGTCTGGAGTCTGAGGACTCAGGGCCTTGGCCATCTGTTTCTGGGTCCCCTCTGCACGGAGCAGCAGCGTGAATGAAGAACTGGGGTGGGGAGGCAGCCATGTTGGAATGCCCAGGTTCTGCAGCCCCTGGCCTGGACAGGAGTCACATGTGGAGCCTGCTGTGTCCATTCCATATGAAATTTCTGCTCTCAGCAATCATTCCCGGATGTTGAGGTCCTGGTCCACATCTTGGCTCGGCCCTGAGTCTGATGCTCCCCCGACAGCAGGGTCTGGTGTAGGGACATTGTCCATGGGAAGGAGGTCAGCTGAAGGCCAGTCTGGGAGCCACCTTTCTGCAGCCCTCATCCAGTGGAAGCCCAGCTCCTAGACCCAGCCTTTAAGTCTTCATTCTCTCCTACATGTTCCCTTTCCCAGACCCCAGCAGCCAACTTGTCCTCCCCACCACACCTTCCAGGCCATCCCTGCATCTCAGCTTGTGCTGGCCCTTGGGGGCCTTGGGTGGAGCTGGGGTCAGCCCTCTAGCCCGGCTTCCGACTTTGCCTCTGCATCCTCTGCAGGTGCCCCCACTTGGTCCCCTCTAGGAGATAACTCTCACAGGCTTTTACTCCTCCTCAAAGCCTTCTCCTATTTTCCTACTCTCCCTCTGGCTGGCTGAGCTGTGGGCCCTGTTCACCTCCAATTCTTTCAGGTGGTTATGCATATCTTCACTACTGCCCTTAGTGTATGTGGCTGATCCATCCTTCCTGGCTTTGCTTTGGACTAAAGGGAGAGGTGGGCCTTTGGCTCAGTGGTTTAAGATGCTGCCTGGGACACTATATCCCATATTGGAGTGCCAGGGTTCAAGTGGTGGCTCCACTTCCAATTCCAGCTTCCTGCTAAATGCACGCCCTGGGAGGCAACCCATGATGACTCAAGTTGCCTTCTGGGAAGCCAGATTGAATCCTGGGTACGTGGCCCACCCCAGCTATTGCCGGCATTTGGGGAATGAACCAGCAGTTGGAAGCATGCTCTCCCTCTACCCTCCCTGTCCCACTTTTAAAATGAATAAATATGTAGATAATAAAGAGCTGCAGGGTGAAAGTAGGAGAAGTTCTTCTGAGAGATGTTTGTAACTGTGGAGCCACATGTTTCCATGGCTTTTGTCTCTTGAAGCTTTATCACAGGAAATAAGAGCTCCATTTGGCTAGAGGAAGCGCCCCAGTCTGAGTCTAGGCCAAGGATGTGGGTCCCCCATCCTGTGGCTGCAGTGGTTGGGGTGACAGCAGTGAAAGTGACAGATGGGGCTGTTGCTATGGCTCAACTGACCAATCCCTCACCTGCAAGTGCCAGAATCCCATATGGGCGCTGGTTCATGTCCTGGTTGCTCCACCTCCCATGCAGCTCCTTGTGTCTGGCCTGAGAAAGCAGTCAAGGATGGCCCAAAGCCTTGGGACCCATACACACATGGGAGACCTGGAGGGGGCTCCTAGCTTTGGCTCAGCTCACTTCAGGCTGTCATGGCCCCATATGGGGGGTGAACCAGCAGATGGAAAAAATCTGTCTCTCCTCTCTGTAAATCTGACTTTGCAATAAAAACAAATCTTAAAAAAAAAAAAGGTGAAAGACATTTGATGAAAGTTTCACAGTTGGTGAAGGTGACATGCCTGTGTAACACAAACACTTAGTGAAAGTGATATGGCAGGTGCCTGGGTGAAGGTGACACCTTCTGAGGGAACAAAACACTTGGGTCAAGGATGTAAACTAGAGTTGGGCCTTTATGACACAGCAGGTAAGCTGCCATTTGTGATTCAGAATCCCGTACATCAGTGCTGGTTCAAGTTCCCGCTGCTCAACTTCCTCTCTAGACCCCTGCACCCATGTGGGAGACCAGGATGGAGTTCCAGCTCCTGACTTCACTCTGGCCCATGCCTGGCTATTGGAGGCATGGTGGGAGTAAATCACAAGATGGAAGACTCTTTTACTGGTTTCGGAGTAAGTATATAAAGTCATCTTAAAATGGTGTGTGTGCCAGTACGCACAAGATGTGGCGCAGGGAGAGGTTCTGTTGGAGGAGCTTGGGAAACTCCTCTGTTGGGACACAGTCCCTATGGATGAGTGCAAGAACTATGAGAGGGAGCAACCCAGACCAGGCCAGAGAAAGATACCCACCTGCATACATATGGCATAGGTGGGGGGCAGACCAGGTTGAACCCATTCACATCATCCACTGGATAATCTGAGCACCAGAATAGAGTGTGGGTCAGGCCGGGTTCGGTCGCGACACAAACCAGTGCATATTACAGAATGCCAAGGTGGGATGAGCCGTACCAGATGTGGTCGCATTGCCAAAACAGCACACATGAGAATCAGGGAGGGAAGGGGCAAAGCTGGCAGGGAATGTGGGCTCTCCCCCTGCTGGACAACCACTCCCACTGGAGAGCGTGAATTGGGATGCGGGCAGACCAGACCAGGCAGGGCTACAACACCTGTGGGCCTCATGTGAGCTAGATCAGGGAAGGGCCAGGCTGGGCTGATTATTCCTAGCAAAAATTAGAGTGGGTGAAGGTTGGTTGGGGCTTTGCTGTGATATCAGCTGGCAGAAGCTGGCACTGGGTGCTAGTTCTGTCAAGTCAAACTCCAGGACCACCTGGAGAGTGCTTAATCAGAGAGTGGGAGTAGCCTGGTAGGGAAAAAGTGGGCATCTTCCTCTTGCGTTACCAGTCCCACTGGAGAGCATGAAAACCAGGACAGGAGCAGGGGTGGCTAGACAGAAAGGCACCCGCCAGTATGTGTGTGGGTTGGATAGTAGGGTTGGTTGGGTTGAACTAGGCTTCAATGCCCATTGACATGTATGAGAGCTAAATGGGATGCAGGACAGACTGAACAAGTCTGCGGTACATACTGGCAAGCATGGGAACCAGGGTAGGGGGTAGGCCTGGTAGGGGTTATGGAGAGTTGCCCAGACTAGGTTGAAGTTCCCACTGGCTGCTGTGAGGGCTGAGTATGAAATGGGCAGGTTCTGGTTGGACTACAACACCCATCAGTTCGAGTGGAAGACAGGGCTGGAAACAGAACTGACCAGAAATTGCAACGACCAGCATGTGCATAAGCTGACTGGGGCAACAGACGTGCCAGACCCTGTACTGGCAAGCACACACAAGAATCAGGTCTGGGATCACCTTAGATGAAGTTTCTTTGGAGATCCCTGCAATTGAACTGCTGATCTCAGAACCCCAATCATGAAGAGCTTATGTCAGCCAGTGGATTCTGCATAGATTTCACGGTGAATGGAACAGCAAGATTGGCAGCAATTCAGAACTATTGAACTATCAAAACTGCTTGAGCAGGACCCTCGGAGCATGCCTCACATACGGGATCCGGGATGAGTGGGAGGCTGGGTGGGGCTTCTCCCTTTGTTTCTCCCCTGACTCCAGATACAGGGAAGAAAAATTGATGACATTAGTGTGGAAACAATGGTATTACCCACTTTCCTGTAGTCCTTGATCCTTTGTACCCTAATCAACTAAGTAAGAATATATACATATATATAAAAAAAGGTGTGTGTGTGGGAGAGAGGTTTCTAGAAGGGTCAGGAGGAGCCGCAATAGGTGTCCACACTCCATCCCTGCCAGGAATGTCCACAGATGGTCTGGGACCAGTCCCTCCTGAGACACTGCCTGGGATGAGCTGTGATGCTGAAGCCCTGGATCCCTCAGGCACAGTATCAGCCTCCGTATCCTGGGTATGGATCCTCATTCCTCCTGACTTTGTCACCATGTGCCCACCCTGGTCCTGCCCTGAGGTCCACAGGCTGATCAGGCAGCTGAGAGGTCTTCCAATCCTGACCACAGCCAGATACCTTCATGTCATCTACCTCCTGGTGCTGGGAGGTCAGCACGAGGTCCCTCTCCCCTGCCTGGTCCACTGGTGGCTGTGCCTGGGAATGCCTTGGTCTTCAGGGGAAAGCAGCCACCACAGGCCACATGCACCCGCACTGCCCTATGGGCCACCTAGGCTCCACAACAAGCACAGGGCACCTGCTACAATACTGGTGTTCATGAGGGCCCAGGCCATAGGCCACCTCACAGCCACCTGTCACACTGTGGGTCCTGGGTAAAGGACAACCTGATGATTTGAGACAGAACAGCCAACCCCTCCAGAGCCCTTGAGTTGGTAGTCCTGGGTGTATATTTGTGGGAAGTGCCGGTCAGGCAGGGGCTTCCACCAGCAGAGAAACAGTGGGGACGAGGGACAGGGGCTGTGGAGTATTCTGATGGCAAGTGTGATATGGGAGGATGTCAGAGGGGTAAGGGTGTGTAGGCTAGCAGCGACAGACGGCCACATGCACCCAGAACCCGGAAGCTCAGCTGTTGAGTTGTACAACACAGGGTGACGAACATGTTACTCCGCAGGCTCAGGGTCAGGTCTAGGGCGCGCCGACACTACGTTAATGGGGTTTCACTATTTCTGGCTTTTGCTAGTCAGTACCACTGGGCTGAGCTCTCTGACCCCTCGCAGACGACCTTGCCAGTGTCCACTGGGGCTGCCACTGCTGAGGTCTTGTCTGTCACCTGGGATCCCTGCCTATAGGTCTGCCCAATGGCAGAGCCTGGCCACAGGGCACAGTCCTGGACCCCTTTCCTGTGTGGATGGTGTGAGGGCCCATATGGGGCGCAGCCTTCAGCACCTGAGCACAGCTGTCGGGTCCCCTGGGGTCCTGTCACAGCTGAGCTTTGGTCTCCTAACCCATAAGGTGGGTGTGAGAATGGTGCCCCTTTCCAGGCACAGTGGTGTAGGACATGCCCCTGATGAGAAGGCCTGGCTCTGGGAAGCCCAGGCCCAGGTCTCAGGGCTCCTTAGATCCCAGTTCTCCGGTATGCCACCCTCACCCAGACATCTGCCACTTAGTGTGTGCTACTTCTCCCAGGTGTGGTGTCAGATGCACTTTCTAACATAACAGTTAGCTCACAAAATTGCTGTGGGACCGGGGCTCCACCTAGTTGTGCTGCTCTGAGCTATCCTACGGGAGGGATCCTAATTCACAGATGGACAAACTGAGGCCCAGCAACTCAGAGGTGGAGGAGTCAGTGGGATGTTCCTGGGGGCTGTCCACAAAGCCGCCCTCATGCTGGGGTGGTGACTGGCATGCCTGCAGGAGGATGTGGAGGATCTGTAGTCACACAGGAGGTGGCTGTGTGGTGATGAGAATGCCCCATCCCTGAGTGCCCGCTCTGCTTCCCAGCTCTGCATGCTCCAAGACCCTGGGCTGCAGTAGAGTCTCTCCTGGGAGGCCTGGCCCATCAACAGCGTGGGGCCTACCAGAAACCTTCTTGGAAAGCATCCACGAGCCTCTGAAAACTCCCTGCAGAAAGTGCATACTCATGGTGATTTTGCAGGTTGGCAAACAATCTTATTTCCCCATAATCAGGCCAGTGGGAGGAGGTACCAAGGAAATCACTGGGAGAGGGACCTAACGCTGGGGTCTTGTGTCTCTGTGCATGTGCTGTGACTATGCATGTAGTGTGCATATATGCACATGCATGTGTACTTGTGTGTATTTGTGCACATGAGCAGAGCCCTCTGAGCTGCCCCCTTGCCCCGTGTCAGCCCCTTTGCCGTGGTGCAGTCTTAGGCTCAACCTCAGCTTCCCTGTCCAGGAAGTGATGATAATGATGGGTCCCGTTGGTGGGGAGGGTCAGTGTGACCACTGGCATCAGCCTGGCACAGTTTGTGCCCACCATTGGGCCACAGAGAGGGTCTTAGAGCAGACCTTGAGGCTAACGGAAACGAAGGCTGAGCCAACTCGGCCAAGGCAGCAGGGTGTGGTCCCTGATGGGCAAGAGCCAGGACCAGGATGTGGAAGGCTCAGTGCAGCTTTTCATTTTCAAGGATTCTGGGGCTACCTGGATCCCTCTCCACCTGGGAGGGGTGGCCCTCATAGGTGACAAGGACTTAATGCTTAATCTTGCCAAGGCTCTGGCTGTGGCTGTGCTTGGCATGGCCAGCATCCAGCCCCTAGGCTTGTACAACCTCAGCCTCTGACTCTTTGGCCATCCTGATTCCTTCCCAGCAGGTAGTATGTGGCCCTGAGGGGGTCCTGGTGGGTTGGGATGCCCATTCCCAGCACACAGTGGCTGTCCATATGGGGAGCAGCTGAGAACTTGGGGGCCCAGGAAGAGACCTGGTATGGAGGGGTCACAAGTCTCCTTGGACGGTCAGGGGAGGGGAACAGAGGAGGACTGACCCAGGCTCAGACCAAGCCCACACTGGCTGAGGCCCCAGGAGCACTGTGCCCTCTTGGGAGCAGTTTTCCCATCGGGAAAATAACAGCCCCGCCCGTTGGGGGTGGTAGGGATCAGAGCTTGGAGCAGCTGCTTCCCCATGCGAGTCCCATGCAGCCCTGCCCTCCCAGCGCCAGCAGCAGCCTGGGCCTCTGGAGAAGGGCCACAGGAGCTGCCCAGCTCAGGCTGACCACCTGAGCCCATCCTGGCCACTTGGGGGTGGGGAAGGACCCTGGGCATGGATCAGCAGGGAAGGGTCATTGGGAAGGTTTAGGAGGGGACTAGGGGCAGATACCACAATGGGGGAAAGAGGGATGACACGCTGGGGGAAGAGGTGCTGGTGGGGGCACACAGTGGGAGGGTGGATTGTGGGGCGAGTGAGTCCCCATACTGGGTATCCTGCCCCAAGGGCTGGACTCACCAGTGACTGCTGGATCAGTCACGTCTGGAAGCATCTAGAAGACTATCCTGAAGCAAGGGCAAGAGACCAGCTGAAAGAACATGAACATTTAATACATTAAGCACCTTACAGGGTAAAGGTGATAAGCTTCTTAAACAAGTTATAAATAATGAAAAATACACATTTAGAAAAAGAAGTACTGGGCCCTGGGCAAGTGGCCTGGGCCCTCTTTGGTTGAGTGATGAGTGGGGACTGGCATCAGGACCTGAGTCTGGGTCCGTCAGAACCCCCCCAGGTCATCTGCCAGGAAGGCCAGCAGGTAGCGGCTGACGTGCCTGTCGATGATGACGGGCGAGAAGCCGAGGATGCGCCGGGCGCCCGGCAGCCCTTTGGAATCTGAGAGACAAAAGGGGAAGAGAAGATTTAAGGTGGACTTCTTCCTGGCCTGGTCGGGACCCCTGGGAGCTGGGGCAGGGTGGGTGTTGGCACTGTTGCCTCCATTTGTTTGGGTCAAGGCAGGAACTGGGGCAATCCCACGGACTCCCAGTGAGTGGTGTGAGGCAGAGGGTGGAGGCTCCTTCTTGCACGGACCAGTACCCTACCCCTAGCACCCTTCCCAGCATGCAAAATCTGATAAAAGGGAAGTTGGGGGCAAGTGGTGGGGCTGTAGGCCAAGCAGTTGCCCCCCCTTCAGAGAGACCAGCGTCCCCTCCACCACAAAGAGATCTGCACAAGGTCACAGTCATGGCTCAAGGTCACAAGTGTGGCAGGCCTTTCTAACCCCAGAGCCTTCCTTCTCTTCAGAGAAGTCATCATTTCCAAGCTCCAGGAGCCACAGGTTCCACAGAAGGCAGGGAGCTCTACCTACGCTATCTCCCATGATCCCTGCAAGGTGGGCCAGATACTATCCCACCACACAGGGCAGAACCCTGGGATTCAAACAGGTCCAGGGGTCATGCTGTGTGGAGTTCAGGGACCTCCCTTGGCAGCCCTGGCTGCCTTGGGCAGCAGCTCACAGTGGCACCTACTCTGCCGGGGCCTGGGGAGGGTCCACGTGTACCCACCTGGTGGGCAGCAGTAGAGGAGGAGCGCCAGGCCTGTGGCCAGGCCCAAGCCTGCCAGGAAGCTCATGGGTCCTGAGGAGAAACAAGTGTGAACAGGGCCTCCCCACCCCTGTGCCGGCCAGCAAACAACTTGGGGGAGGCTCTCCACCAAGACAAAGGCAGCAGAAGCCCAAGGCAGAAGGAGAGAGAGAGAGACAGAAAAAGAGAGAGAGGGCAGTGGGGGCGTTACCCCTGTCACTCAGCTCGTAGCTCTCGTGGCCCCAGTCAAGCTCTGTGGAATCTGAGTTCTCTGGAAACAAAATCACAGGGCATGGTTAGTTGTGGGTTATTAGGGAGCCAGGGGGGTCATCCTGACAGGAAGCCCAAGACTGCTGCCACCTCCTGGGGCCATGGGGCTCCCATCCAGTCTCCACATGGATGGATGGACAGGGACGGACACGGACATGGACACACACACACACACACACACACACACACACACACACACACACACAGGGCTGGGCCAGCCAGGCTTGGCATTCCGTGCCCCTGCAGTTTGGGATGTCCTCCTGTGGTCCAGCTCCCACACTCAAAGAACACTGGCACTGGGAGGAGACAACCTTATTCCCCAGGGGCCACAGGGCCCCATATGCAGCCCACACTTCAATCTTGAGGGCCTGACTGTTGCTAGCATGGTGGCTGCCTCTGTAGCTGTGGCCTAGGAGGGCTCCTCCTCCTAGGCTCTCCAACAGGGACATGGTATGACCCCAGGAGTACTTGGGAAGGGCTCATGGAGCAAAGCCCGGGGAGGACTCCTTGAGGTCCTTGGAGTGGCCTGACTGGAGCCACCCATTTCTCTGGTCCAGAGCAGTGGCCCCTCCTCTAAGAACTGAGCACAGAGCTCTTGGGCCTCTCTCCCAAACTGCTGGTTCTCTCTGCTCCCAGCAGCTCAGAGGACCCCAGACTCTTAGGACCCACACTTTTGGGGTCTATGGTGCACTGCCCAGGGACAGGGCCCTGCCACCCAGGCCTGGAGCAGCCCACATGCACAGGCCAGCCACGGGGCATCATGGGGGCGGTCACTCGGCTGTGCAGTGTGTTGAGGACAAGGATGTGGTTGCTGTCCTTGATGCAGGGATGAAGGGGTTTGTGAGGGAGGCTGTGGAAGAAAGACAGGTCCCACAGGTGCATGGGATTCCATCTTCTTTGCAAAAGTGACACAGGAGAGAGACAGAGACACACAGAGGTGTGTGAGAGATGCCTGCGTGGTCTGTATCTGCTTTCCTGATGCTCAGGGAGGGGCTGAGGCAGCCGCACAAGCCATGCAGGCGACACACATGCACAGGGCTGGAGGACAGCCATGTCACTGAGAGCTGAAGTGAGGCCGTGTGGACTTACGCAGAGCCTGGCGGCTGGGCAGGTGGCTGTGCAGTGTCTGGGCATGGATGTACAGGGCACGGTAGAACTCCTGGCAGTCACGCTCACCACTGTGCTGCAGGTGGCTCAGGAGGTCACAAAGCCGCAGGCGGAGGGATGCCTTGGGGTTCCGGAACTGGTGGGGTGCGAAGGGGTCACAAGGGAAAATCAGGTTGGTGTGTGTGTGGGGGTGATGCAGTCAGGCTCTCTGGTCCCTACTTTCTCCTCGGTGGTCCACCACTTTACTCACGCCTGGTCCCCATTCCCTGTGGGATGGGAAACTGGGACTTGGACAGGTCAGAAAGCATGGGGCAAGGGGACATCATCTGACGTGCTGCCACTAAGCATGGCATCTTCTGTGTGTCACTGGCAAGTTATTTCACCACCCAAGGACTGGCTTGGGAATAATGAATTACGGTGACAGTGTCGTTACAGGGAATTGATAAGGTGATGGTGTAAAGGAGAGCTTCTACAGAAACACGATTTAAGTATTTAAAAGTAAGCGGGGAAGCGAACAGGCTGTTCTGACGTGCCTGATATATAACCTCCGTGGTTCTGGAGGTCAGTTGACAGGGCACTTGGCATTGACCCAGGGGATCAGGAGGCCGGATGGCTGCTGCCCCCTGGTGGCAGTATGCCACTCTCCATGGCTGCAGGGAACGCGAACTGACCCACAATAGCACAGAAGCTGCAGGTGCAATGAGGAAGGGGGTGTTCAGTTCCTCTTTTATTTTTTTTTCTATAAACATCTAATCTTGTGACTGCTGCCAGGGAACAGGTGGTTGGGTGTGGTGGCACAGGCAAAGCGAGCCAGGGGCTGGTGGGATGGGCAGGGCCAACCCTCTTTCCCAGGTCCTGAAATTTGAAGCCTCTCAGGCTTCCCCGGCACTGAAAGGGAGGACCGGATCAGGCAGCCTGGGACGGAACCCAGAAACTGCATCTCCCATGCCATGTCCAGCTTTGGCTGGCAAGGTGGCAGCTGTCCTGCACCTGCTCGTGTCACAGCATGGGCTCAGCACATGGCCTTAGCCTGACTCAACAGGAACCCCCTCTGCCCTACAGGCGGGGACTCAAGGTGGGCTTGATTCTAGCATAGCCTGCTCACAGGCTCCTGGGCCTGTGGCACAGGTGGGCACACTGCCTCTCCTAGCACTGAGCCTCTCTCAGCATGGCTTACAGGTCAGATGGGGGACAGGGTCAGTGCCTGACAACCTGGGGCCTTCTACCCACCTGTCAGTGCCTACCTGTCAGAAGCCCAAGGGGCTCCCAGTGAGATGCCCAATAAATGATTCCTAGCTAACAGTTAAGGAATGGCGGGCTCCAAGTTCCATGCTCCCTGTGGGCCGTACAAGCACAAAGCCTCGCCTCTTGGTGCGGAGTGAGTGGAGATATCCTTTCAGCCATGTTTGCGCACCCTAATTCCCGAGAGGCAACCCCATGTGAGCTGCCTTCATTATCCCCATCTTCTATGGAGTTTCCTTCTTCACTCTGTGGACACACGAGTCATCCTCCCTTTGGGGGACTTTCTACCCTTCTTTCCTTTCCAGACGTGTCTGGAGCAATGAAGACAAAGAGGAGCAAAGTCTGCTGGGTCCACTGCTGTGGGGCGAGCAAGGCCCAGGCTCAGCTGCCCCTCTGCGTCTTGTACTGCCGTGTGCTGTGTGTGCCATCTGCTGTCACACGTGGTCTCCTGCGGCCTTTCCACTACTCCACAAAGGGCCAACAAACCTGACGATCTATGAAGAGCCTGGGTGCCGAGAGCTGACACCATGCATTTGTTTTGGGTTCCCCCAAAGAGGTCACCAGCTTGGGCACCTCGAGTGCCTGGGCCTAGGCGTGTCACCTGTGAGCATGCCATGCCTGGAGAGGCATCCCAGGTCCCCCCCCTCACCTCCTCAGCACCTTTTCCGCCTGCTTGTCAGTGAGGATCTGCGGGTAGTAGCGGTTGAGCTGCAGGATGATCCTGTCCACCTGCTGCTCGCTCAGGCGCCCAGAGCCCATCAGGAAAGGCGCATCCTGGACCAGGCGATCACAGTAGGTCTGATCTGAAACACAGGTCAAGAGCAGCGAGTGAGCCGCACCTGTCGGGGTCACTGCAGCGGGCACATGCAGGGGATCACAGACCTCCCAGCCTACATGGGGCACGGCACACGGCCCCCTCCTTGGGCCTCTCACTCACAGGGGAAAGGATCTACTTTCCATGGGCCAGCTGGCAGTGAGGAGGGGCTGGGGAAGTCGGCAGCTCCCACAGCCATGCAGAGGGTGGCAGGGCTCAAGAGCCTGTGCTGGCATCTGGAGGGACAATGCCCAGCAGCAGGGTGCTGGCGCTCCCAGTGACAGCTAACCCTCCTCAGGAGGCCTTTCCCTTGCAGGTCTGTTTTTCAGAATTACGGTAACATATCACTAGTACACTCTTTCCCATATGATTGTTCCTAAGGAGGACAGCTCTTTGAGGCGGACACTAGGATGGAGTGGGTAGGCACAGGGTCCCGGTGGAGAGCAAGCAGGTGTACTTGCCTAACAGGACTGAGCCATTTTCCTACGTATGCAGTAATTTTAGGAAATTGTATGTAATGTCCTCATTAAACACAAGGAATATACACATAAAAATATTACTACAAAAAATCTACTTGGTGTCTGGCATGCTAGCTTTCCACCTTTGGTGCCAGCTTCCCATATGGGTGCTTTTTTATGTCCCGGCTGCTCCACTTTCTCATCTAACTCCCTGCTAGTGGTCTGAGAAGGCATGAAAGGATGGTGTTGGGTGCCTGCACCCACATAGGAGACCCAGAAGAAGCCCCCGGCTCCCAGTTTTGAACCAGCTCAGCTCTGCCCATTGCTGCCATTTGGGGAGTGAATCGACAGATGGAAGATCTGTGTCTCTCCCTGTAACTCTGACTTTCAAGTTAAAAATAAATTCGTCTTAGGGGGAAAAAAATCAGCTAGGGGCAGGAGGTTGGCTCAACAGTTAGCTCACCACGTGGGATGCCAGCATCCCATATCGGAGTGCTGGCTCAAGCCACATTCCTCTCCTTCTGATCCAGCTTCCTGCTAACACACACCCTGGGCAGCACAGCGAGGCTCACGTACGCAGCTCCCTACCACCTGTGTGGAAGACACAGATGAAGTTTCTGGCTCAGCTCTGGTTGTACACTGGGGAGTGAACCAGCAGATGAAAGATTTCTCTCTGCCTACCCTTCCTTTCTCTCTCTCTCTCCCTCTTTTTTTTTTGTTTTGTTTTTTTTTTTAAGATTTATTTTTGTTATTTTTTTATTGGAAAGGCGGATATACAGAGAGGAGAGACAGAGAGGAAGATCTTCCGTCCGATGATACACTCCCCAAGTGAGTGCAACGGTCAATGCTATGCCGATCCGAAGCCTGGAGCCTCTTCCGGGTCTCCCACACGGGTGCAGGGTCCCAAAGCTTTGAGCCGTCCTCAATTGCTTTCCTGGGCCACAGGCAGGGAGCAGGAAGGGAAGCAGGACTGCCGGGATTAGAACCGGCGCCCTTATGGGATCCCGGGCGTGCAAGGCGAGGACCTTAACCACTTGCGCCACCGCGCCGGGCCCCCCTTTTTTTTTGTAAAGATTTTTTTGTTTTTATTATAAAGACAGATATACAGAGAAGAAGAAAGACAGAGAGGAAGATCTTCCCTCTGATGATTCACTCCCCAAGTGACCGCAACGGCCAGTGCTTTGCCAATCCAGGATGGGAACCAGGAACTTCCTCCAGGTCTCCCACACAGGTGCAGGGTCCCAAGGATTTGGGCCATCCTCAACTGCTTTCCCAGGCCACAAGCAGGGAGCTGGATGGGAAGTGGAGCTGCCGGGATTAGAACCGGGGCCCATATGGGATCCCAGCGCGTTCAAGGCGAGGACTTTAGCTGCTAGGCCACGCCGCCGGGCCCTTTTTCTCTCTTTTAAAGTAACTAAACACCAAAGGTGGAGATTGGAGGTACTGGAGAAAATGGAAGTACAAAAAGCTACAAGATTGAAAATAATCAGCAAATTGGAAGAAGTAAGTCATTTTTTAAGTGGGTAAGACTATTATGTCCATATTGTTTCCTTCATGTATCAGGTAAAGGGGGATATTAACGGAGAAGTCCCACCCAGTCTCCCACCAACCCTAGGTCCCTGATATGGGGCATGCTCCGAGGGTCTTGCTCAAGTGGTTTTGATAAGAAGTAAGTCATTCTTTACCAAAATTATTTTCAACATAAATAAGTTAAACTTATCATTCAAAAGGCAAAAATTGGCAGAATGCATTTACTGTCTATAAGACTGACTTTAAAAAGTGAAAAGTGGGCCTGGCAGCGTGGCCTAGCAGCTAAAGTCCTCACCTTGAACGTGCTGGGATCCCGTATGGGCACTGGTTCTAGTCCCGGCAGCTCCACTTCCCATCTAGCTCCCTGCTTGTGGCCTGGGAAAGCAGTGGAGGACAGCCCAAATCCTTGGGACCCTGCACCTGTGTGGGAGACCTGGAGGAAGTTCCTGGTTCCCATCCTGGATTGGCACAGCACCGGCCATTATGGTCACTTGGGGAGTGAATTCACAGAAGGAAGATCTCCCTCTCTCTCTCTCCTCCTCTCTGAATATCTGACTTTGCAATAAAAATAAATAACTCTTTAAAAATATAAATTTCTTATGGAATCTACTCTTCATTCTTTAATTTAATTTTAATCGGAAAGTCAGATATACAGCAAGGAGACACAGAGATCTTTCATCTATTCACTCACTCCCCAGGTGGCTGTAACGGCTGCAGCTGAGCTGATCAGAAGCCAGAAGCCTTTTCCAGGTCTCCCACACAGGTGCAGGGTCCCAAAACATTGGCCCATCCTCGACTGCTTTCCCAGGCCACAAGCAGGGAACTGGATGGGAAGTGGGGCTGGCAGGATTAGAACTGGCACCCATATGGGATCCTGGTGCATGCAAGGTGAGGATTTCAGCCACTGGCTAGTATGCTGGGCCCTTCATTTATTTTACTATTTTACAACACAGTTGCACAGGTTCTGAGATTTCCCCTATACTATTACATAGTGTAGTCTTTCATAGACAGTCATAAGTCCATCATTGCATTATATAAATGTATCCTGACATTGTAGGCATAGAGTTGGCAGAGAATCCAGTATCTGGATATATACTTAACAGTTTCACCGGGAGTTCAGCTTTAATTTAGAAATGGAGATGCATCTGGATATGATAGTCTCCATTGCAGTTACTATAAATCCCTTAAGCCATAAAACCAAATCAACAGGAATAAAAATAGAAAATTAACAACATGAAGTTAAATAACATGCTACTGTATGACCTATGTGTCACTTAAGAATTTCGTAAAAAAAAAAAAAACTTTTTTGGAGAAACGAAAAAACAAAACTATCAAAACCCATGCAATATAGCAAAAATAGCATTGAAAGGAACATTTATAAAATCAAATACTTACAAAAAATCAAAATAGCTCAAATAAGTTACTTATGCATATTAAGGACTTATTAAAATGAAAAAATGAACAGGAGACAAGAAATAATAGAAATCACAACAAAGGGTCCAGCACAGTAGCCTAGTGGCTAAAATCCTCACGTTGGACATGCTGGGATCCCATATGGGCACCGGTTCTAATCCTGGACACCCCACTTCCCATCCAGCTCCCTGCCTGTGGCCTGGGAAAGCAGTGGAGGACAGCCTAAAGCCTTGGAACTCTGCACCTGTATGGGAGACCTAGAGGAGGCTCCTGGCTCCTGGTTTTGGATCAGCTGGGCTCCAGTCACTATGGCCACTTGGGGAGTGAATCAGCAGAAGAAAGATCTTCCTCTCTGCAAATCTGACTTTCCAGTAAAAATAAATAAATCTTTTTTAAAAAAAGAAATCATAGGAAAAAGAACTACAATTAAAAATAGAAAACTACAAATTGCAACAAGAGCCATTTTAAGAAGATGAGCAAAACAAACTTTTAGCCATAATAGCAAAGACAAACAAGAGAGGCAGCACTGAACGAGGTAAATATAGTTTCTTCTAATGATTAAAATTTACCTTATTTATTTACTAGTCTTCTCACTAAGGCATGTGTTATGTAATTATTCTCTTTAATGTATGATATTTCTATAAAAATGTCCTGTTTCTGGCTTTTTAGTTTGGGGCTGTTTTTGATTAATGCAGTTTCCCAATTTTTTTTTTTACTTTTTTCTAACTTACAAAGTAAAATTAACTTCTCCCATGGGTGTTACTATTCTTAGATAGTTCTAGAACAATGAAACCACTTTTTGTTGCTTGGTATTTGGTCATGTCTTGGATTCCTTGATTCTAGGACACAGCCAGCCTGAACTACTCTGTTGGTTTCATCTCCACCCCAACAGTGTTGTTACGTAGAAAAATAGTTCACCTGTGTGATAAGCCCTGTATGTTTTGTCGTGAGAGATATAATCATCCTCAAAGCTTGTTTCATTACGTGGATTAATTAGTTTTCTCTATCACAGTATTAACAAGTGGATTTATTGCAAATACAAAGAAAATATATTGATTAATATTCTTTTTTTTTATTGGAAAGGCGGATATACAGACAGGAGGAGAGACAGAGAGGAAGATCTTCCCTCTGATGATTCACTCCCCAAGTGAGCGTTACAGCCGATGCTATGCCAATCCGAAGCCAGGATCCAGGAACTTCTTCCGGGTCTCCCATGCGGGTGCAGGGTCCCAAGGCTTTGGGCCATCCCCGACTGCTTTCCCAGGCCACGAGCAGGGAGCTGCATGGGAAGCGGGGCTGCCGGGATTAGAACCAGTGCCTATATGGGATCCCGGGCTTGCAAGGCGAGAACTTTAACCACTACGCTATCATGCTGGGCCCTAACTCCCATAACTCTTATGTTCAGCCTTTTAACAGGGTACCTTATTCTTCAATACTTTTCTTCTCCTGACTCAGTTCCTCTTCCAGCTTTGTGATTTTTTCCCCCATTGTTGAAGGAAATGTCTTCAATTTCTAAGATTCTTTCTTTTGCATTGCTCATTCTATTATTGAGACTTTTCACTGAATTTTAAATTTGCTCCTTTGTGTC